AAAAAAGTGTCCAAGGTTTTTTTTTTTTTTTTTTTTTTTTTTAGGATTTTGCCAAAGGGTACATGCACTCACTGGAGAGAGGCAGAGAAAGACAGAAAGAAAGTGAAAAATCACCCCCCTGGGGGATGGCCACATTGCTGTCCTTCTCCAAGGATTCATGGCATGCGTGCATACACACCTGGCATGGTTTTCAAATCGCTAGTTCTAGGACCTGAACTGCAGTTGGACCTGTGTGAGTCTAGGACCTTAACTACCACGCCAGATGCTGGTCCCACCAAGCAGCATTTTTAGAATTAAAGAATCATTTTGAAGTTTCTTATTGTTTCTAGCTGTTCTATAAGTCCTGGGCCCTTTTTACCCAAAACAAATGAGGTTCTACATGGAAAAAGATCATTTTGCTAGCATTCATTCTTGGGTTTGGTAGAAAGTCAAACATGTTGCCACATTATTCCACTGTTCTGTTTTATTTTATTTTTTCTGCGCTGAGAGATACAACAATTAAGGAAGAAGTCAGAAGTTGGAAATGTTTAATTTTAAAATAAAGATAGTATTTCATTCCTTGGTAAATAAGCTCTTTTACTAGTTTAAGAAACCCAGATACCAACACAACGATATGGCCGGAGACCGTATGGTGTTGGGCTGCTCATTGCTGGTTATGATGTAAGTTCATAGAGTATTGTTATAGTCAATGATTCTTTAAAACTAACTAACAATTTTTGTAATTTTTTGTTCAACAGAAATCAAGAATTATGTGGTGTTTTCTTTCTTTTTTTTTTAGGATATGGGCCCTCACATTTTCCAAACTTGTCCATCTGCCAACTATTTTGACTGCAGAGCCATGTCCATTGGAGCTCGTTCTCAGTCAGCTCGTACTTACTTGGAAAGACATATGTCTGAGTTTATGGACTGTAAGTAATAGATAACCTTGTTTTTCTTTTTCTTCCTCTTGTCTATATATAATGGATAAACACTATCTTAAATAAAAACTATCAGGGCCAATAGGTGGTATGTTGGTTAAGGTGCTGGACTCCCACACAGCCAACCACGGTTCAAGTCTCAAACTTGATGGCTTGCTTTCTCTTTCTTTCTCTGTGTGTGTGTCTTTGTCTCTCTCTCTCTCTCTCTCTCTCTCTCTCTGTCTCTGGTGAACACATGTGCCCTATAGCAAATTAAAAGACAATAGTAATGGAACCTGCAGGTGGCATGGTGTGTGTGGGTGCTGGACTCCCACATGGCTGACCGCAGTTCAATCCTGGGCACAGCAGCTTGTTTTCTTGCTTTCTCTCTCTCTGTTTCTCTCTCCTTCTCTGGTCAAATTAAAGTAAATCAATAAAGTTAAATTAAAAATAAAATGATTCTTTTAAAAAAAGATAATAGTAATAATAAATAAAATTAAATAGATCATTCAAATAAATAACTATCAGAAAGAACTTTTGTTTAAATTAAGCCCATGGAGCCAGCCAGTAGTATGGTGGTTAAGGCAGCTGGCTCCTACATGTTTAACTACATGGTTCAAGTTCCAGGCCTCACAATTTGAAAAAAACAAAAAACTGGCCCATTTGTTTGCATGCCCTAAATCCCAAGAGGATAATGTAGGGGAAGGGATTATGATGTTGCCATCCCCCCAAGGGTGCTTTCTCGCTTTCCTTTTCTCTTTGTCTCTGTCCCATGTACATAGACTCTAGAGCAAATTTTAAAAATTGTGCTCATGAAGGGTTTATTTTTCTCTGTCACACGTGCTAGTTTTTACTCTTTCTAATGTCCATAGCAGTTTGAATCACAGAAGTTTTATAAAACCTAAAATTGTCCCCAACCTTGAAAACTTTTGATTCATTTGGTCTGAAATATGCCCCAGCCAGAGTTGAGAACCACTCTACTAACTGCCAATTATACATTCTGTTTACAATATTTAGTTCCCTTTTCTTTTCTTTTTTTTTGGAGAGTTTTTTTGCTATAGGGCATGTGCGCTTGCCAGACAGACAGAGACAGAAAGCAAGAAATCACCCCCCAAGGGGGATCGCCATGCTGCAGTCCCTTCTCCATTCTCCTCTCGGGATCTTGGGCACGCACGCACATGCACCCGGCATGAGTTTTAAGCCACCAGGTCCAGGACTCGAACTGTGGTCTACTACGTGACAGTCCAGTGACATAGCCATTACACTAACTGCTGGTCCCACAATGTTTAGTTTTCATTTTAAGACACATAGACATATCAGCATTACATAGTTCATGAACTACAAGTTAAAAGGCAGGTAGTGGGACTAGCAGATGGTGTAATGGTTATGTCGCTGGACTTCCACATAATCAACCATGGTTCTCGAGTCCCCAACACAGCAACTTAAAACTCACACTGGGTATGTGTGTGTGCATGCCCAAAATCCCAAGAGGAGAAGGGATTGCAGATTCACCCCTGGTAGGTGATTTCTTGCTTTCTGTCTCTCTGGCTCTCCGGCAAGAACACATGCTCTATATCAAAAATCTCTCTTAAAAAAAAGAATGCAGGTAGCATTTTGCAGAGGAAGGAAGGTAAGCTGTAAGGTGTGATGATAGGGCAGGTTTCGAGTGCTTTGCTTCACATTGGAAGGAGGGCTAGTGTCAGGGCTTTAGCATTTCATCATTGTACCTGTTTTCTTTACGACATTATTGTATTTTCTGGAGGAAAAGCAGATACATCTGGGAATAGAGATATTTTTATACTTTCCTTTCCAATCTGGATGCCTTTTATTACTTTGTCTTACTTAATTGCCCTGGCTAGAATCTCCAGTATAGTGAGTAATAATGATAAGAGCAGATGTATGTTTTGTTTCTGATCTTAAGGGAAAACGTTTCAGTTATTCACTATTAAGTATGATGATAGCAAGATCAGCAGGTGGCTTGGTGGTTAAGGTGCTAGATTTACATGTGGATGACTGCAATTTGAGTTCTCGACGTAGCATCCCACTTTCTTACTTTCTACTTTTTTTCTCTCTCTCTATCTTTCCTGCTCTCTAGTGAGTGCATGTGCCCCGTAGAAAATTTTTTAAAAAGAAGAAGAGTAATAATAAATCAAATTAAATAAATTCTACTTTTATTTATTTATTTGTTTTTATTTATTTATTTATTTATTTTGGAGAGGTTTTTGCTATAGGGCACATGAGCACACCAGAAAGTCAGAGACAGAGAGAAAGTGAGAAATCACCCCCTCGGGGGGGGATGGCCACACCGCAATCCCTTCTCCTCCATTTGCCTCTTGGGATCTTGGGCATGCACACATACATGCCTGGCATGAGTTTAAGTCGCCGGGTCTGGGACTCAAACCGCAGTGGACTACATGGGAGTCCGGCAACATAGCCATTATGCCAACTGCTGGTCCCATATATTCTATTTTTAACAAAGTATGATGTTAACTGTGGGTTTTAACCTTATCAGGTTAAGGAGGTTTCCTTCGATTACATTTCAGTTTGTTGAATTTCTTATTATGCAGGGGTCTGTGGCTATATCATGTGGTTTTTATACTCTTTTGAAGTGTTCCTGCAGATTTTTCCTTCATTCTATCCATGTGGTGTTACACTGACTTTGAGATATTTCTTTTGGTTTTTTTTTTTTTTTTGGAGAGGTTTTTGCTGTGGGGCGCATGCGCTCACCACAAAGACAGAGAGAGACAGAGAAACAGAAAGCAAAAAATCACCCCCAGGGGGATGGCCACGCTGCAGTCCCTTCTTCTCCATTCTCCTCTTGGGATCTTGGGCACGCATGCACATGCACCCAGCAGGAGTTTAAGCCACCAGGTCCAGAACTGGAACCGTGGTCAACTACATGGGAGTCAAGCAACATAGCCATTACACCAACTGCTGGTCCAACTTTGAGATCTTAAACCAGGTTTGAATTCCTAGGATGTATCCTACTTGATCATGATGTGTAATCTTTTCTATATTTTGCTGAATCCAGTTATATTATTTTATTAAGGATTTTTGTGTCTATTTATAAAGGCTTTTGGTCTATAGTTTTCTTATGATGCCTTTGACTGGTTTAGGTATCAGATAATGCTAGCCATATAGAATGAGTTGGAGATTCCTTTTATAAAGAGGATGTAAAGCGGCCAGCATTCCATTTAACACATTCTGTAAAACTTTGAGTTGTATCATTTGTGAATCAGGATTTTTATTTAACCTAGCTCAAGAAAAGGTCAAACTTCATGACAAAAGCCATGAGTCTTCTCATTAAATAAGGTAATAGTGATATTACTGATTGCTATTAGAAGATTATATTACTATCTGGCTATGATACCTTTTGTGTGTAACTAAAACTACAATTTCAGACTGTAGACTTGATAAATAAAAAGTTTCACATGAAAATGAAATTAAGAAATAATTGTTGATGAGCAGCCAGCACACCATGCCCACCCACTTCCGTGCCCGCCGTGGAAATGAAAACATCTGCCCCATGTGTCGGAAGCCAGCTGGCGGCATGCACCTGGCGTTCTACCACATGTACCCCCTACGGGTGTCCTCATGAGACAAGCTCGCCAAAATGGCCGTATCCATTCAAGAAACTTTGAGGGAAATTTTGAGTTGCTGGACCTCACAGAATTTGCTAAAAAGCAGCCATGGTCGCATAGGCTATTTGGGCAGGAATCTGGGCCCTCAGCTAAAAAATAGTGTGGCCACCCAGCTGTTAATTGGAGACGTCCCTGGATGGTGCACGGGTTTCTTATTCCAGAAAGTTGGGAAGTTGGCTGCAACTCCTGTAGGAGGTGGATTTTTTCTTCACCTTGCAAACCATACTGGGCATATCAAAGTGGACTGACAACGAGTGGAGAAGGACATGAAGACAGCTGAAGATCCGTAAGAGCAACCAGATACCTACAGAGGTCAAGAGCAAGGCTGAAGAGGTGGTGCCATTTGTGAAGAAGAATGTTTTAGTGACTAGGGGATTTTTCGGAGGCTTTCTGCTTGGCATGACATCCTAAGGAAGATGACTCTACTTCCATTGTTCCTGGTTTTCCCAGCCAGTAGTCTCTATACTCCATTATAGGACATTGAGTCACTCTTCCTCTTCTCCCGTGCCTTCCTCCTTGCCGTGGCAAATCTGAATGGCTTCTGTAGACATCATTTTGTACAAGTTAATGCAGTCCTACCCTGAGTTTGACAGCAGTGGAAGAGACAGTAGATGGTAGCTCTCCTCCTAGTACATTCCCTACATGGCCAGTCTGTAGGTCAGCAAGAATGTTCCTTTCCCTCCTACATGAGACACTTTCCAGAACACATTGCAAGATAGGCTCGCCATGGAAGATGAATGAGAAAGGAACACATAGATAACTTTTGTGTGCTGCTTAGAAAGGAACGTAATACATTTACCTTTAAGTATCAACAATTTTGGTATCTTGGTGTCTTTCTTTTTCAGTTTGGTTTTAGATTACACAAAGCTATTTATTCCTGCTATGATTATCCCAACAAAAAAAGGCAGGTAAATACTGCAGTTAACAACGTAGAACACACTTGTGTGAAAGACATTGTATTTGTGGGGGAGTCGTTAGGGAAACCAACATTAGAAATACCATGTTGGATTGTCAGACTTTATGAGTCACTTAGGGGTGCAAAGATGTTGTCCAGTAATGTTTTCTATCATAAAGGTCTTTTTCGAAGGGTGTGTTTATAGTAATACAAGTGATGTAGGCAGGCAAGCAAAGAAGCTCTTGGATTTTTATTTCATAAAAACGGTTTTAAGCTTTGAAATGTGAAGTATTCTCCACTTCTTGTCAAAACCTTAGGGGTAGCCATACTGCCTCTGTACCAATTCTGTGAAAGGACTTCAAAAAGTTCCTGGAAAAAGGGGTTAAACTACAAGTTTATTTTGGAACCCAAAAAAGATACGAAATCCATACATAGTTACTTCATAATACATCTTTCCCATGGACTTTTTGAAGACCCCGTTAGAATGAAATACATTTAAGTCAGAATTTTTAAGTAGCATTCTAGGTATTCAGAATTGAGAAAGATAGTGATAGCACTATCTTGAAATAAATTATTTCCATCAAGTATGATCTGCTGTCTCATGATGACCTCAACTCTTAGAATGATTCTTTAAAATAGAAGTTTTTATATACACACGTACTTAGAATCTTAGCTCATTTTACTTTAATGACCTGTTATCATGTCCACAACCCCAGCTAGATTATCAGCTTCCAGAGGGCAAGGCTTTTGTCTTCTTCACAGTTATATGTAGGGCCTTCAATAAGTTCATGAAAGGCCAGCCCCATGGCCTAGGAGATAAGGAAGTTGGATTCCACGTGGCCAGCTGTCATTAAGAGTCTTGGCCCCAGCAGCTTGAAGAACATGCTAGACTCATGTGTATGCATGCCCCAAATCTTGACAGGATGGGGAAATGGAGGAGAAGGGATTACAGCATAACCACACCCTGTTTGAGGTGCTCTCTCCCTCCCTCTCTGTCTGGCACGTACACACACATGCATACTCTGGCAATTGGATAAACTCATGGAAAATGTGTATTGTGAAAGAAACTGCATGGATTTCAAATACTTTTGCATCAAAATAAATAGACTTTAATTTTATTTCCCACAAACTCTTTGAAGTGTCCTCATACTCACAGGGCTTAGCACTTAATGGGTGCTGAGTATTTATCTAATATACAAACATGTATTGTAAGTTAGTTTACATGGAAATTTTAACTTGTATATTATCTCTTGTGAAGTATGTGTTTCTAAGGCCATACATTTTAAATGGTTGCCTTTTACCTATCTTTGGAATGATGTATTGATTTTGAAAATTAAAACTACTAGTGTTGAACTTAAAAAAAAAAAGAAAGAAAAATAATTGTTAACTTTTTATATATAGGTAATTTGAATGAACTGGTTAAACATGGTCTGCGTGCCTTAAGAGAGACTCTTCCTGCAGAGCAGGACCTAACTACAAAGGTAAATATGTTTTCCAAATATTACCATTTAAGTCTTTCTTGTATACAGTTTAAGTCTTCATTGCATAAATGTGAGTAATAGAGGAGGGCATATATATAAATTATTCTAGGGAAATACAAGCGCAAAGGCCCTGAGGTGAGGCCAGGCCTAGTATTCAAAGCAAGGAAGCTAACGTGTTAGGGTATTCGACTTTAATGGAAAGCGTTTTGTGGGCGCAATGTAAGGGAAAGCTGCAGGAGCACTATCCTTTAACAGTACATGTGTGGAAGGGTTGGTCTTAGGATGTTGGACTATTCATCCATAATAACGGGAAGGGAGAGAATCTAGGGGCATAGCACAGAGAAAAGAGTGGATATAGTGCAATCTTGTGAAAGTTCTCTTTCAGCTGCTTATATTTTCTCAATGAAAAAGGAACATAGTGTTTAGCTGCAAAAAGGGAACATATTAAAAGTAGCTATCTAAGAAAGGGAGAGAGTGAGTGATGTAGTAATGGGTACAGTACACTCCAGAACTAAGGCCTACACGAGCTTAATGATCATTCACTAAAGTGAGACAAGTTAGCATTATAAGCCATTTTGTTATAGTGACTGGATAATTTGATAGCAATGTGAAGATTTTATAGCCTGCATAATCTTTAAGAGTTTAGATGACATTGGCCTTTGGAATTACTCATGTTAATAAGTCTGCAAATGACAAGGGCCTACTTGTTTCTTTTTCTCTTTTTTTCTCTGAACATAAGTAGTTTCAAAAGTCTTAATTCAAATGTCATGTGTGAGGAGACTTCAGAAAATTTGTGGAAAATGTAATTAAAGTACAAGTTTTTCTGGGGTACAAAAAAAAAACATTGAAATCCATGCATTGTTTTTTATATACATCTCTTTTTACCCTGAACTTTTTGAAGACCCCCCCTTGTCCATTTTTATTCTGTCTTTTTAACCTAACATCATATATATCTTTCCCATTTAAATTCTCTTTTTTTATTATTTCTTATTTTATCAGAATGTTTCCATTGGAATTGTTGGTAAAGACTTGGAGTTTACAATCTACGATGACGATGATGTGTCTCCCTTCCTGGAGGGCCTTGAAGAAAGACCACAGAGAAAGGCACAGGTATATAGCCTGTCCTGGTGTAAGAGGCACTATTCCTACCATAACTGTGTAAATCTACCGGTTTTGCCTTTAACTACTGAATTAAGCCCATAATTTACATTGCAATAGGAAAATTAAGAACCAAGTAAAGTAAAATATTGAGAGGGCAGTGATCTCTATGAACACAAAAAGGGAAAAGAGTTGTTCGGTTATCTATTACCATGTACTTAAAGTACCCCAAAACTTAAAGGCTTAAAACAGCAAACCTTACCTCTCAAATCTGTGACTGTCCGGGGCTCAAGTAGATGGTTCTCTTTCTGGTCTCACTTAGGGGTCTCTCAAATGTCACAATCAAATATAGGGTAGAGCTGGAGCATCCTAATACTCAGACCTCTAAGGTATCTCAGAGGGGCAGCTGGGAGGCTGAGACCTCTGCTAGGCTGACTGGGCCAAATATCTGGTACAGAAATTTCTTCTCCAGTATGAATGTTTCTCCACTTAAAAAGGATGTCCTTGGTACTCTTTAAGAGGTAGGGAGGTGGAATATAAGGAAAGCTTTTACTCTTGAGTAGGACAAAGTACAATAAAACAGAATTGTTAAATGATGATTGGGTTTCCCAAGCTGAAATTTTGTGTGTTTTACTTATTTTCGGGAAGAATTATTTTATGTAACTTTATTTATTTATTTATTTATTTATGTACTTATTTATTGTAATTTGACCAGAGAAGGACAAAATACGTAAGAGAGAGAGAGGGAGAGAGGGAAAGTGAGAAAGCAAGCTACCAGGTCCAGGACTCAAACTGTGGTTGGCCACGTGGGAGCCCAGCACCCTTAACCACCACACCACCTGCTGGCCTGAAATTTTGTGTATTTTAAAACACCTTTGTTCAGAAACTTTAACGCACAACAAACTGAAGTTGAATATCCAAAATGTCTCGTAACCACTTTTTCCTCATTAATTCTTTTAAAATGTAATGTTTGTGATTAGACATGTATGTCGACCAAGTGCTCATTTTACCCATGTTCTCTTTTCTTTCCCTCTTAAGCCTGCCCAGCCTGCTGATGAACCTGCAGAAAAGGCTGATGAACCAATGGAACATTAAGTGATCAACCTGTCTATATGTGTATTATCAAACATGTAAGAAAGCAGGAACATATGATTACAGTGCTAATGATAGTAATCTATACTTCGAACCAAAAGATACAGAGTGCTAGAATAGTGTGTTGTAGGAATCAGTTGAGATGTGGGTTTTTTCCAAGCAACCTCACCATGGAGCTATAATGGAGAGCATTTTTCTTTGAAAGGATCTATATAATCATTTTCTAGAAAGTATAGCTATCTGTACTAATGTTTTTATACGAAGAAAATAGTGTCTTTACAATTTTAAAGACTACCGTGAAATAAAAATGTTTCACCTCTGGTATACCAAGGTTTTGTTTTTAAGTGTTTATTTCATGAGCAAGAAAGAGAGACAGGGACCCCTGATAGGGTATTAACATACAGCAATTCCTCCCTGCCTCCCCCAAGTCCCTAGCCTTCTAGTCGGTATCACAAGTACACCCATTGTCTTCAGATGTACCCCAATCTGGGGATTTGAACCCCACCCCTTCACATGTGGCTCTAGTATATAACAGCACTACCACCTCTACCACCATGGCTGGATTTGTGTGTGTGTGTGTTTTTTTAAGAATTATTTTATTTAACTTTATTTATCTTTTTTTTTTTTTGGAGAGGTTTTTGTTATAGGGCACGTGCGCTCGCCAGACAGACAGAGAGACAGAGAGCGAGAAATCACCCCCCGGGGGAATGGCCACGCCACAATCCCTTCTTCTCCTTCTCCTCTCGGGATCTTGGGCACGTACGCACACACGCCCGGCATGAGTTTAAGCCACCGGGTCCGGGACGCGAACCATGGTCGACTACGTGGGAGTCCAACAACATAGCCTTTACACTAACTACTGGTCCCTTAACTTTATTTATCTTAACCAGAGAGGGGAGTGAGAGACAGAGAAAGAAAGCAAGAAGGCAAGCCACCAGGACTGGGAATCAAACCATGGTCAATCATGTGGGAGTTCAGCACACTTAACCACCATGCCACCTGCCAGCCCCCTAGATTTTTGTTTCTTAAGTAGCTTCAATGGTAAATAATAGTGTGAGATTATAACTGGTCACTTGCCATGTTTGCCAAATTAAATTGCTTTGTATTTATTTAATTTCACTATAGGGCATATATGCTCAACAGAGAAAGTGAGAAGTTACCTCCTAGTGGAATGACCATGCTGCAGTCCCTTTTCTATTCTCTTGGGATATTTGGGGCTGTATACATACATGCCCAGCGTTTTTTTTGTTTGTTTGTTTTTTTAAGTATATAAACTATTAACAGACAAGGCCTACAGACTTATTTCTTCTTGGACACACCCGTGGTACAGCCACGACGGCCTTTTGTCTTAGTGTGCTGGCACAGCCTTCTATTGGCGCATATCTTCTTCAGTCTCTCCAGGCCTTTACGCGGCTTGTTGTCCAGACTATTGGCCAGGACCTGGCTGTATTTTCCACTATTTACATCTTTCTGCTTGTTCAAGAACCAATCTGGGATCTTGTACTGGTGTGGATTCTGCATAATAGTGATCTCACGTCCCACCTCCTCCTCAGTGAGCACTCGTGACCTCTTGGTGAGTCCCATGCCTGCTGTCCTCGACACACATGAGCATATCTCCGCCCCATACTCTGAGTGGCAGTGACGGCAAAGGCTGTTTTCCGCCGCCCATCGATGTTGGATCCAGCCCCCTCATCCACCATGTAACCAGCTAGCCCAAATTGCTTTATTTGTAGTGAGGAGGAAAAAATAACTTGTCTATCACAGCTCTTTTTTTTATACTGGTTTTATAACTTTATCTGAAAACCAGCAGTTAGTTTTCATCCACATTGATTAATTGTAGGTTTTTTTTAAGTGGTAGCAGGTACATAGGTCACCAGAGTGTAGAGCTTGTTGGTGAGTCTCATCCTCCTTATGTTTTCTGGACAACTGCACACAGATTCGATATGGGACGTTCCTTATTCCTTTGGCCAGACAGCTCTGTTGAGCCTGGTATCAATGCGCACATCTAGAGTCTCCCATCTCCTTCATGGCAAATTTCCAGATTTCTTTGAGTGCCTGAGGGGCACGTTTCTTGAACCCCACACCATGGATGTGTTTGTGAATGTTGATGGTGTATTCCTGGGTCACCACCTCATCAATGGCAGAATGGCTCTTCTTGCCACTCTTCTTTGCGGGAGCCATTCTGCCCAGCCTATGTTGGAAAGTGACCACAGCTTTTTAATAGTTCTTCAGTGAATAGACTGACTGCATGAGAATCTGTGGTAACTTGGGTTTAGAATTCAAAGTTCAGGGATCAACCCTAGAGATTCTAATTAAAACCTAAGAAACTACCACTTCTCAACAAAATAAGCATTATTAACAGGAATCTTTATTCTGTCCAACCACCAGATGGCAGTAGTTATAGCTCTAGTCTCTGTAGTAATGTACAAACATATCAAAAAGGAAATTTTATTTTAAACATTTATTTATGTATTTATTTGTTGTGATTTTTCAAGCCACCCGTTCCAAGACTCAAACTGCAGTCAGCCATGTAGGGAATCCGGTGCCTTAACCACCATGCCACCTAATGGCCCCCTCAAAAGAGAAATTTTAAGGGCTATGTACTCTGACATTTCATAACAATTTTTATCTTAGACCATGCAAAATGAAATTAGGGAAATCTGATTTTAAAAGACAACCACTTATCCAAAATTATACTACTATGAAGCCTATAGGGGTTTAGTTTTCTGAGATAGACCTTTCTAGAAAGGAGAGGTAATCTGTAGATGGTAAACCAGATTTTATACCTAATGCTACAAGTTACCTGCTATTTGTTTTAGGCAAATTGTTTAGCCCAATTTTAAGAAAACCTTTTGGAGAATTAGTATTAGAGTTTAAAAGGTGGATTTTTGTGGAAATATTATGTCAACACTAAAATTCATAAAATGTTAGTTTAATTTTTTTCCCCAGCTTTCCCAAAACCTGAAAAACCATAATAGGTTTAAATTGTCTCTAATATATTTAAGAAAGAGTGGTGGGACCAGCAGTTAGTGTAATGGCTATGTCGCTGGACTCCCACGTAGTCGACCACAGTTCAAGTCCCAGACCCAGTGACTTAAACTCATGCCGGGCACGTGTGCATGCATGCCCAAGATCCCGAGAGGAGAATGGAGGAGAAGGGATTGTGGTGTGGCCATCCCCCTGGGGGGTGATTTCTTGCTTTCTGTCTCTCTGTCTTTCTGATGAGTGCACGCACCCTATAGTAAAAACCTCTCAAAAAAAAAAAAAAAGGAAGAGTAGTAAAAGAAACTGACAGCCTCCGACTAAGTACTGGAATGTGGTAGATGTCAGTCTCTACTCTACAAGTAACCTCAAGAATGTGCCATTTACGCTTGAGAGTAGGCCGTAAGTATCATGTGGCTATTTAAGCAGCAATGGAGTTAAATCAGGCACATGTAATTCACACACAACCGTGAACAAAGGATCTCCTGCCTGCCTTCACAACATGCTCCCAAACAGGAGGGAGCATAAGTGAGATATTTAATAATCTGCCCTTTGCCTAGGCAGGCCTTGTTTTCCTCTCATCTTTCATTAGGTGAGCCTCTGTCTGCTGAATGATTCTATCGTTTGATGATAAAGATACTGCATGTGTGTATCCCTATTTTTGTATCTGTTCCTTAAATATAAATAACTAGTTAACTGGTATTCAGCTAAAAGACAGTGATCTGGGTATAATTTTGGGTACAATTTTTTAATTGCCAGAGGGCACTTGCCAGAGAAAGAGACAAGTGAGAAAAAGAATCTCCCTGTTCAGTGGAGCCTGATCATGCCACAATCCCTTCATTTTTCTATCCTGTCCAGACTTTGGATAACCACACGCATGCACTTATCACGGGCTGGATTTTGAACCATAGTTGGCTATGGGGGATCTGACTCCCTTAACCACTGCACTACAGGGCCAGACAACTATGAGGGCAGTTTTAGTCATTCTTTTTTAATAAATGGTTTTGGAAACTTTTTGAGGTAAAGCTCACAAAAGTGTGGGGACTCCCTATTGTCAGGTCCTCCTATAATTTTTAACTCTCAGACTTGTTCACACTGAACATCCAGGAGTTCGATTCCAGTTCAGATTTACCTACCCTGACACTCATTCCTGTGGAGACTTTTCCTTGTGATTTTCTTCTCTGATCCTAATAGGGGAAGAATGGAAATTGCCCACTGGTGTTCCCAGGAAAACAAAGTAGTGATGGTTGTGGTCTCATGAAGAATAGAGTGCTGTGCAGTATACTTGAACTACTTGGGAGGGGAAGAGGAGGCACCTTCAAGGAAGATACAAAGGGGGTTCAGAAGTTCATGGAAAAATGGAATCAAAAGTATGTGTTTGTATTGGCGTAAAAGAATTTTGAAATCCATGCATAGTTTCAAACTACACATTTTTGATGGAACTTTTAGAAGACTCCTTGTTGCTTGCTGGATAAAACGGAAACAGGAATTCAAAAAAATGATTTTGTAATTTTATATTATGACTTTAGAACTTTAAGTCTCCCTCACCCCAGTAAGACTCAGCCCCACTGTATATACAGTGTACATTATGGTACTTTTTCATGTTTTTTCTAGTCTGTCATTCTTAGTTATTCCATTTAACCTGTGTTGAATAATTATAGTGAAGCTATAATGTCTTATAAAGTTTTATCATCTTGATTTACTACTCAGTTTACCTTGAATTTATTTAGCATCTCTGTACAATTGTAAAGAAATGAAGGTAGTCAAGTAGACAACAAGGTTCAGGTTCTAGTCCAAGTGCTTGTTTTTGACCATTACATTATTTGGCAAGTCCCTTTTCTCTAGGGCTTAATTTCCTAGAATTCTGAATTTTTTATGGTTGTTGACATCAAGGTCTTTGCTCTGAAATAATTTATAATTAAAAAGCATCCAGTAGTGATTTCAGGGTAAAAGAGAAATGAAGATTTCCTACTGATAATTCAGCCTCCAGCCCACAAATTTGAGTGACGGATCTAAGGGAACTATAGCCAAACATCTAAATACTATTAGGGCTAGCATATTAACATATTCCTCAATATCTACTGAATCTGCTGCACAAAGCGATCACAACAGAATGGCAAAGAGATTCCAGATCACCTCTTCCTGCTCACTCCTGAACGTTCAGATTGAACTTCAGGAATTAGGAAGAAACACGCCATCCGTCAGATGACTAGAAATCACTGCAGGGCCACAAGAAATATGGGAAAGCAAGAAGATACCTCTCTTCCAAGGGAAAAGATAACTCCTCTTCATCCACAGACAGTTCAATGGAAATCATGGACACGTCTGATAAAGAATTTAGAAC